CTGGGAGTTTCTAAAGATTTTTAAGTGAATTATCGAGAGACTAAAATTTTTTTTGTTACATCTTACATTATTTATCTCAATTTTTTTCAAATTTTTTGGAAGTAACCGTCAGTGTTAAAAATTGATATGATTTTCTGTTTTTGAGCAGAAGAATAACTTAATTATGCTCATTGAAACTGCAACAATAGAAAAAGCGTCATCCATATAAAATAATGTTAATTTAACCAACAATTAGTTTCTTAAATTTGCATTTTCAAAAGACAATTTTTTTCTAATTTATACTCATGAAACCGGGTATATTTTTCAACTTACAATTTTATTATTTTTTATATACCTGATATAAACTGAAACAAAACTATTTGAACAGATTATATTTTCTATACTATTTTCCTATTGTAATCTATACAATGAATGAAATTCCTGTCTGATCCTGTTCGGACTTTTACGAAGCCAGTGATCCATTAATTTAACGTGAACTAGTGATGACGTCGGTTGAGTGCGAAAAGTGATTTTTCTAAAAATATTTTATGTATGCATTGTATATTTATACAGTATTTATATTTATATTTTTGTGATAAAAAAAAATAGAAAATGCAGGTATTTGTTGATTAAATTAACATTATTTTACATAAGTAAAATTAATATTCATTATTAAATTGTAAAAATAAAGACGAAAGTGAGACAGGGCCTAAGCCAAGTCGGCAGCATAATGGCCACGTCGCCTTTTCTCTCACAATCAGTATAACGGAGCTACATATAAGAAATGCCATATTTTCTAAATCAATTTTTCTGGGAAATAGTCGAGTGTTGCGTTCTAGCCCTTTACTCTCAAGTATTCTTCTCTCTGAGAATATTGTATTATATAAAAATCTTCAAATTCGTGATGATCCCAAATTTGCGCTCTCTCTCTCTCTCTCTTTGTAAATCTTAACCATCTTAATTCACTCGGTGATCAGATATCAGCTAATTCTCGTCACAAGTATTTTGTCAAACGCAATCGATATATGTATGTCGTTAATGACAATTAGGTAATGTTCAAAGTCAGATGTTAGACTCATAACAAGAATGAATTAAATTATTGCACAAGTTGATTAAAAGTTACATTGAGAGTTATATATTGAATTGTCTTGAGGGGACATGAATAATATTGTACGATATAATTGCACAGTAATATGGCAAGTCTAATTTGGTGTATATAACTCTGTGTATAACTAGGATTTTTCGACTATTTTGAAGACTACCGTGAAACACATTAAAGAGTGTAGGTAGCAACGAAGATGTAGTTGATAATTACTGATGCGCAAATCATGGCCAAAGCAGCATTATTTTTCCACTAATTTATAATAAGATAGACCAGGGAAGCTCTGTTGTATGTATTGTATATAAATTGTTAAGCATATAAAATGTGTTCCGAAGTCATTTAAAATTATTCTGAATATATATCATGTTATATCGCTATATTATTAATATAATATATTAATTGAATACATATATTTAATATGTATACACAAGATATGAATATATATATATATATATATATATATATATATATAAAGTTCATTTATTATATTATACGCAAAAATGCTTTTACTGATTGTATTTAAATGTACTTAATTAAACATTTTCATTAATATTGCTATATCGCTACTACTATTGTACTATTATTTAACTTTTTAAAAGAGAAATTGCTGTTAATGTCAAAAATTTTGCGAAATATCTGGTTACATTGCGTTTGATTGGCAAAGCGACAGATTAATGAACGCGTAAGGATTATAAAAAATATTGAAACAATTCTTATATATACATACGTCTTATTTTCTCTAAATTCTTGAATGATTTCATTATAAATTTAAAACAATGACTAAGCCACCATATATTATTCCGTGCAAATATATGCAAACGTTCACAATATCTTTACGTAAATATAGATATACGTATAAACTTTAACTTTGTACAAAAACAGCTCGGTGTGATTAAGGAATTTGGGTACTCTGTTTTTATTCTTGTCTAATTCTATCGAATATCTAGCCTCTTTTTGAAAAAAATAAAAAAAATAATTACTCGTTCTCCTTTCGGCAAAAGAATTGTTTTAATATTTTTTTTATATTTTATAAGACATATATCTTACAATCAGCGAGTCTATATTAACCCTTAGTATATGCGACTGGGTCATTCGTGGCAGCCGTAATTAATTATGACATTTATATTCCTTTTTTTTTAATACACAATCTTCCAAATGTTTATTAAAGACGTCAAAATATATATGTTAGAATCACTTAATAATTTTTGTATACTTAAAAGTGACGAAAAATTTACTCAACCGACTAAAACAATCCATTGTGTGTAAAACGCCTAAAAAACTGGAAAATCATATGTACTTAGGGTTAATATAAAATGAAAGGGGAAGAAAGAAAATCGATATATATTATATATACTAATATATATTTTTTGTTTTCTACAGAAAGCTGCAAGACTAAAATATATTTATCCGATTATATCTTTATCATGTAATTAACTCCGTATTGTATAATAACTCCAGCTCGGTTTGTTAAACAACAATTATTTATTCCAACTTTATTCGATACTTCTCGTATATAATTTCAATGCGAAAGATGTAAAATACACGAAAGTTGAGTTCTGTACGTTTCATTTAAGTATTTACGGCATTAATAATTTTTTGACGCGAAACATTAATTTTCTCAGCACGAATTCCACCACGCTCTTGTATCGACTCTTCAACTTTAACTAACGATTTTATGCGGTAATTGTATGCAGCAATTTCCGTAACGGAATTAATGTACATTTTACACAATAAAATTGTGATGAATTGCAGCAGGAGTAATCCTCTTTTTTTTCTCTCTTAATGCTGTTTATCTCTGCAGGAATGTCAGAATGGCATTAAGAGTACCCGAACTGATGTAAACTGTCCGATAAATTGTATTATCATCGTGCTCGATCAATGCAAACGCTTACGAATATGCGGAATCCGCAACAATCTTTCGATCGTTGAAATAACAAAAGCGAAACAAAAGGGTTGGATTGAAATCAGAAAATTATTGCGACATTTCGTTTTATCGGATATATGGATCAACTACTATACGTAATCCCGGATTAATCGTGTTCTCGCATCACGTGTGGCGTTCCTGCGACAGGCGGCTCGTGCAGCGGGAGTCGCGATTATCTCTATTTTAAAGTCTCACCGAGACCTCGCGAGCATTTCCTTTATTTCAGTTTAAGAGTTTCCCCTCGGCCTGCCGCCCCTCCCCTCGCCCCTGCGGTGCATCGATGCAAATTTAAAAGGCTTCGCGCATCCCGTCCTTCGCTCTCTCGCTCCTTCTCACGGTCACGTGCTCGCGGGAGGCGGGAGAGCGGCGCGTACTACTGTCGGCAGACTGGCGGCAGAGGGCGGCGGGGAATGTTAATTTAAAGTAAAACAGCTGACTTGAAATGAAGGAAGTCGATTGTGTATGCGCACATTTATAAGGAGTTTACCGCGCGACAATGCGAAAAGAAAGGAGAGAGAGGGCGAGAGGAGACAGCACGCGAAATAATTGAGAAAAGACACGAGGAAAAATATATGTGCCTGTCTTTTTTCTTGTCGAACACAGATAAGCGGCGCCGTCCCCGCCGCACGAAAGTACAAAACTATATAGAACTTATATATATATATATATATATATATGCATTAGTGATATCCCGTGAAAGCGCGAAACGCGCGTACGAGGTTTCACTCACTCGGCTCGCGCCGACCGACGCGCGGGTGATCGAGACCGCGACGAGCCCGCGCCGCGGCGTTCCCGACCCCGATTTTGCATAATTGCGCGAGGTGTGTATTTTATGCGCGCGACGACACCGATCGCGCATTAAATTAAGGGTAACCCGTTTAATTTTTTTTTCCGTCTTTCCTCCGCCCGCCCGCCCGCCTCCTCTCCTGCCTGCTGCGTGCCATGCATCGATGCATGCATGCGTAATGCAAGTCGCATGGCGAGCCTATCGGGCCAGAGCAGTTGACCACCACACGTACGATATCGGCATCGCGGCGCGCAACAGCAACACGCGGCACGCGCATGTGTGTACGCGCAGTACGACTACGACGTTGTCCAACGAGTCCAACGACGACGGGGACACGACGGTTGTCTCTCGCAGTCTCTCCTCTCGCTGCGTGTCGGACTTTCGGTGGTGCGTTCCGTGTGGGCGATCGGTGCGTGAACCGCGCGGCGGGGGTGTCGTCCGTGTAAACAACGCAGCGAGGAGCGAGACGACCACCGAGCTCATCCGCAAGCGCCCGTCGAGGAAGGCGCGTTCGTCGAGTCGCGTGGATCCCGCCCGCCGCGGACGTCGCCACGCGACGGAAATAACACCGTCGTGGGCGAGCTCGCGCGGCGCAAGGGAGCGAGAGAGAGAGAGTGGGAAGGAGAGGAGTAGGTATCCGAGAAGCAACACATTACAGTCACAGCGGTGGAGGAGCGCGAAACATCTGATCGTTTGACGCGAACGCGTGAGTCCTCCCGCGGGTTTGCTTTGCACGTCACGTAACAGGCGAAACGCGTCGGCGGGCGTTGTCACGGCCACGACGGTGTTCCCCGTCGGTCTAATTGTGTCTTTTTTTTTCTTTGCAGCCACGCCGGTGTAAGCAGGTCTTCGGCAGGCGTTGAGAGGTTAGGTGGACTGTGTGTCGGTCGGACCATCTACGTCGTCCGGGACGAGCGCGCGCGCGCGCGCCAGCTGGGGGGGGGAGGGACACGTTGTGGCGACGATGATTCTTGGCGTCCCGAACTTGGCGCCACGCTGAGAGACACGAGGTCGCGCGTGGAGCTGAGAGATCTACAGGAGTTGGAGTCAGTGCAATAAGCGTGCGTCCCGATGAAGAGATGCGCGCTGCTGCTGCTGCTGCAGCAGCATGTTGAGTTTATACCAAAGATTGTGCGGTGCTCATAGCTTAATATTCGCGCGAACTCACTGTGACATTCGAGTCTGCGATTAGATAGTAAGAGGGTGGAATGAGTTACAGCAACTTCGGCAACCGTGGGAGCGGCTACGGACCGCGGGGGACGCGCGCCGCGCGTCGCTTCGGCAGGCCCCGGTTTCCGCGCCCGCCCTTCCGACATGCGGGCCCGCCGCGGGGACCGCCGTTCGGCGTGCCCTGGCAGCCGAACAACATGTTTTTCCAGCCCCACCCGCTGCGTGGCACCCCGCAGTTCCGGCCGGACGGCAGACGGAAGAGATTCTGCAATTACGACGTTCGATTCCCCGCGCCCAACAGACTGCCCGTACCTCCGGATTGCGAGGAGGACTTCGCCGCCGCCACTGCGTTGCCGCCGTTTTACAGCTTCCAGACGGAGATCAATCAGAGTGAAGCCGCGCCGCAGCTTCCGCTGCTCGGCTCCGAGGAGGAGCGGCAGCAGAAGATAACCGAGACGGCGGATCGTCTGAAGCAGAAGCTCTCCTCTTTCAGTAGCGACGAGATGATAGATATTTGGAGCGAGGACCCGCCGTCCATCGCTGTTGAGAGTAATACGGAGGAGGAGAGACGTATCCCTGTGGTCGGATACAAATCATCTGAGCTCAGTCTGACGTACAATGATCTTAAGGATATTGGAAAAATAAATTCCGATAACACGCAATACCCTGCAAGTGTATTTTACGTATCGAGTAATGCAAATAGCGATGTAGTATTAGATGAAAATGAAGATGGAGCCCATCTAGCGATACCTAGCGATCAAGTGACAAATCTAGAGGATACACCGGATGGTAATGAATGTGTGGCAGTGAACAATTGGGAGGAGTTTCGCGAGTCAGCGGACGATCCTCCTGATCTGGAACAATCACATTTACACGGAGATGAAAATATTGAGGATAAGTTAGACTCGGACGTCCAGTATCAGTACGATACACCTTTGGCTAGTATTTCGGAAGATCAAAATGATCAGCAGCAGGATGCTTCACGAGGAATCGAAGTGTACTCCACGGATGCTGCGAGAGAAGAGAATGAGTCCGAAACGCTGAATTTACAAGCTACATCATTTCCAATTAGTTCCGATTTAGCGGATCAGGATGTTTTGCAGAAGAATATGTCGCCAGGAAATGAGGTTTTCACGAATTTAGACGTTCACGAAAGTGTCTTAGATTTCAATGTTCATGCAGAAAATTCAAATAGTAACAATTGCACGTTAGCGCAACCGGCAGTAATTGACACAGCAGTAAATAATGTTGCGTTAGGTAATCAGTTGCCAAGAATGATGGACAATTCCTTGCATAGCGGTCCACCGAGGTTGTCACCGCCCAGCGAGCAGGAGTTGCCCATTGATTTTGATCCCAGTACCCCACCACCGATACTGCTGAAGCAAGATCAGCCATGTATTCTGCCACCGTATTCGATACCTGATTTGCCGCCGTTATTCGATCCTACAGAACCACCGCCAAATGTCAAGTGTTTACTCGGATCGAAGATGCTCCACGAGGACGCAAATCCTGCATGGAGTAACGCTCAAAATCCGATACCTGCCGCCTATAATAATATAGAGGTTCATACGGGCTTGAGTGCGCACGGAGGATTTATGCCCCAGCAATTGCCATTAGAAATACCCAGCCAAGGTAATGTCTTTCTGCCGCCTCATATCGATTCGGTAAGTTTTCCCGCCATATTTCCTATGTTGCCGAGCGGTCACTCTGACATCAGTACACACGTTCCGTCAACGTTGCCTGCTCAAATGCATGCGCCGTCTCGTAACGCTTGCGTGTCTTCGCCCTCTGATTTGCATTGCAGCGCGAACAAAGACGACGGTTTGGATGACATGCAGGAGGCTATGAAATTTGCAAAAGAAATGACAAATATAGCAGGGAAGACGGACAAGAAGTCCCAATCAAGTTCCAAAACTCTTTCGAAAAGCGGTACCTCAACTAATCCTGTTAGCGGCGGCGTAGAATTCATAGCCCTGCCTCCGGGAAAGCCAAAAGTTAAAACTGGTAAGCTGAAAAGGATAAAAGGAGATGACACGTGTAGCAAGAGAAAAATAGTACCTGAGGAACAAGGTAAAGCGGACCATCCGTCATCCGAAGATACGACACAAGATGCAAATGTGAGCTCCAAGGACATCTTGTTCAGCGAGCAAGAGCGACCTAAAGTAGTATTTAACTTGAATAATAAAACAAAAGTAGTGAGTACGGTAAAAACTAAGACAGCGTGGAAAGAAAATGACGAGAAAAAAAATGGCATGACACAATTTATAGAGCCAGAAAAGAAACAATCTATGGAATCGGAACAGTCTCATGCAGTACCTTCGATAACTAAGAAGAAGAATTTTGAAAGTACGTTAAGGTACAGTAAAGAGGAGGAAAAGAATTTAAGGAGACATGAAAATCACCCTGAAAGAACAATATTATTCGAGTCGACTACAAACCAGGCTACTACGTTGCCTCACAAAAAGTCGCAAAAGGATATCCATATGGAGAAATCTCAACATTCTCACGTTTCGCTTTATTCGAAGGTCAACGTGCAAAATTCGAGGAATCGTGGAGTAGATAAGAGCGAGAATTGTAACGTGGAGTGGAAGAATAGAATCATCAGCCGATTCTTGAAGATGAGTAGAAACGATATCTGCAACATGGTGAACAATACTAGTCTTCGGAAGTTTGATATTATAATGAAGCGTCTAGTTAAGGAGAAGAAGCCTGCGCTGTCCTTGGAGATGAGACACGCGCAGGACGAAAAGATGAAGCTGTACGATCAGCAGGAATTTATGAAGCAGCTGAATGCGATGTTGGACACCGACGCTGTTGTGTCCGTCACCGATTTGCCTACGGAGTTCATTCATCATTTGAATGAAGTCTTACAGTTGGACGTGCAGCCGGATATTCACGCCGAGTCCGCAGCAGCTTCGAGCAGCCAATACGGTTACTTGGAAGATGCCAATCGTATGTTCAGTCCCATAACTACAGAATGCGCAGATAAACTGACAATGTTGAATGATATTAGTCAGGAATGTGTAAGAAACAAAGGCCGTATGACAAGAGCGGGATGTAATAAGCATGTACAGGCATATAACATTAAAAGTAATGATCTTAATTCGAAAGATGATACCTCTAACACTATTGTAGCTAATGTTTCTAATATTAACAGCTTGTCGACTCTGCAACATGATTTGGATAATATATTTTCAGAAGTAACGAAGAAAATTCAAACCCCGGCGGCAGTAAAAGAGCGTAAGCGTAGCAGTATGGGACATCAAAATGCAAAGAAATTTGACATCGGCGCGATTACGAGGAGCATGGAGCAAGAGGCACTCTTGGAAGATGACGGAGCACGCGGCCTGGAGACAAGTTCGTACTGGGACGAGAACTATATAGATAGATGGACGAGGAAGGAACGGGAGGATCCATACGCGTACAGAAATCTTACCAAAGAAGAATGGGAGGCGAGATACGGAATGCAAGCGAATTCGCAAGTGAACTCGCAAACAAATTCGGCACCCTCTGTTATTAGTACAAAAAGGATTGGCGCTGTTAATAATAAAAGAGGACGCGGTAGAAAAATTTGCCCGCGACGTCGCCATTCGTCCGAATCTTCGAGGCATCCGCCAAATACGAGGCACAGATCCTTGGAAAAGGATAAGCATAAAAAGTCTAGACGACACAGCGACGATAGAAGACATAGTACCATCTATCAGACAGAACATCTAGAATCCGTTGTCAACAACGAAAGTAATAGTAGTAGCAGCAGCAGCAGCAGCAGCAGCACTAGCAGCAGCACTAGCAGTAGCAGCAGCAATAGCAGTGATGTCATAAAGTTACTAAGAGTGATAAAGGAGAATGAGAAGGTGGCGAAGAAAATGACGTTGAATGAAGCGATAAGAGATGAGGTGAATGCCGAGATCGAGCGAGAGCGTAAATCGAGAAGATCGTTGAAAAATCGTAAAAACTTGAAGAAAAGGCCGAAAAGAGCACACAAGAAAAGGAGGAAGCAAAGTAAGAAAGCGACGAGATCCTCCGATTCCTCCTCGGAGAAGGATAACGATAACGAAGTGACCGATAGATTGCTGACGGAGAATGAAATTAAGAAGGAAATCCTGGAAAATCAGGTCGCGCAGGAGGTGATTGTCAAAGAGGAGGTGGACATCAGCCAGGAGGAGAATTCCGCAGACGCAGAGTTTGCGAACGCTTCGAGTTTTATGGAAAATGAGACGGCGTATCTGCTCGCCGCATCGCAGACCAGGCTGGAATCTCCTTTGGCGCAGGAGATCCCGATTGCGGCTGTCAATGCCGCCGCGCAGCCGCATGCCGAAGACAGACTGCCGACAGTTTCCCCGACGCAGCTGAAGACAAAGGCGCAGCTGAAGCAGATGCCGGAAACGTCCGATATGAACGACAACAGAGTCCCTCTGAATGTATTCACCTACATACCGGAGAATTGGAGTTTAACGCTTAATCCGGCGAGCTTCGCGGAGGATTTAGATAAGCCCTGCCAAACGGCCGACGACGTCGGGAGCTGCGGCCAGGACAAGGCTCATCCGTCTTCGGCGATCGACAGTTTTACGAATCAAAACAATAACACCGTGCACGTGTCGTGCAGCGAAACTGATAATAACAATGCAACATTGCAACAATCGGATGCGACAGCGTGCACTTTTGCCGAATCGTCTGCCAAAGTGCAAGACGGTAATAATGAAATCTCAGCCACTAGTAATAATGATACGTCAAGAGCGTCAGCGAAGATGACCGCCACGTCAGCATCGCCGGCGTCAAATGTCACGCCTGCGAGTGCCGTGGCGCAGAAGCCGGGAGCCAGCAAAAAGATTGACATAAAGACGTACTACGAGCGCACTATGTCACGACGTCGCATGAATGAGAAGTCGGAATCGAAGCGGAATCCCGCGGAGAATCCCGCCAGACAGACGTCGGCGCAAAATTCACTCGCGCCGAAAAGCACAGAGCCAGAGATTCCCGTAGCGAGCAAATCCACTACGTTGATACCCACTTACACCGGCTCCATTCAGGATCCGCGATTAGCAAAATTAGCCGCGAATTCATGCGTGACGAGTAGTAGGAGCGACATCGCGCAGGCAACGTCGGAGAGGAATGCTCGGCAGAAGGAAAAGCGGGAGACGAGGGGATCCGCGGTCGCGGAATTGGCGTCGAGGCGTCCCGAGGAAAATTCAAATCGCATCGGCAGCGATAGCGCCGTTAAAAATATTAATCAAGATAAATCGAGAGATAAAGTATCGCTCGCCGCTAACAGCATCAGTGTATTGTCCAACGTTGTTGTAGCAGCGTCTAAAAAAATTGCGGCGCCAAAATCCAAGAAACGCGCGGAAGTCAATAATCAGGGTGCGGCGAGTAAGAAATTACAAAGCGACGCTCCGTCTGACGCTAAGCGATTTAAGAACATTCGATCGGAAGGCGGTAAAGAGTTGAAGCTGAAAAAGGAAATGACGAAGGTGCAAAAGGCGAAGAAGAAATCCACGGCGACGTCCAAGTCGTCCGTTAATCTAGTCTCGACAAAGGTATACTTCCCCACGGAAGAGACGCCGGTTCAAGGAAAGAAGGCGAACAACGTCAACGACGCGGAGAAAACGAAAATAGAACGAGTACAATTGATAAGCTCTCGCGAAAGTAAGGCGAATGGCAAAGCGGAACCGACAATTCCCGCCGGAAACGCTGATAATGATGAGTTACCGCATGATACTGTTAAGGCGAAGGAACGTTCCGCAAACTTGGAAATTTGCGGCCGGGGAAACGCTGAAAAGGCTGCGGGTAATATCGATGCGCCCGAACGTTCTTCCAAGACGCGAAATGAAGGGACTCGTGGCGCAAAATGCGCAAAGGGCACAGCGAGAAGAGTCGAGGTTGCAGATAAGAAAGGTCAGAGCGCTTCTTCTGAACTCGCCGTACAGGCAGCTTCCGTAGCTGCTTCGAAAGATTCTGAAAATGAAAATGTCGAAAGGATAAACAAGGATTTCCCCGCGTCGAAGACCGAGACGCAACCGTCCGCCGCGGCGAGAGGGACGGAGCCCTCGTTGAATTACGCGGATCAGGGTCAAATTAGAAAATCAAACGGTCGAGATTTATCGGTGAGCGCAATTAATCGTGACGTAAGCAGTATTCCCGAATTGGACGCAACGTCCTCTCGCGCGGACAGCGTCGACGGGCGAAGTAAGGAAAATCAGGTGTTATTGAGTAGCAATATCGAAATTAATAATCCTAACGAGAGCAATGTGAGATTAGATGCCGCGGACGATGCGAGCGAGGGATCTCCGGCTAGGAAAACCGCTGGGCTGCAGTCGTCGGTTTCGTGCGAGGACCCGCGGGGGGAGCAGCGAGGTACCGAGAACAGCGATATCTCGCCCAGCGACAGCGTCGGCAGTCCGTTCAAGGGCTTCCTTCAGGAGACCATGGTGGACTTTGAGCAGCCGAAATTGTCACTCGACGTGAATTACGTAACGCGCGCCACCGACCGCCGCGAGGGCGTGAAGTCGACGATCGTCGAGGGGCGATTACGGGAGGATTACGAGACGCTGCAGGAACCCGGTACCGATTACGCCAACGACGACGCGGCCGTCGTCAATGAGAATTTTAATATCGCTTTTGACACTTTGCTTGCTTCAGATAAGGAATGCGCGGCGAGCGAGAGGAGCGATAAATCCCGCGATTTGACGGCGGCAGACGAAAGTGGAGAAGGGCACGTAAGAAAATCCTCGGGCGTAGAGATAGCCACGACCATGTTACACGACGAGGCGAACGATATAAACATCGCGGACGGTAGCGAGACGGAGAGGCAGACGTTGCGGATAAACAAGGAGGGATACGCGTCGTCGTGCGCCGGATTAGCGATGAAGGAGGCCATGTTCATTGGCGAGGAGGAGATTATCCCGGGCGAGGCGCGCTCGAGGGATCTGACGAGCAAGCTCAAGACCGCGACCGATCCGAGCCTGTCGGACGCGCTGGAGGCGACGATCTCGGACGACGCGTTGAGGCTGGCGCCGGACGGCAGCCAGGGAATCGCGGAGCATCTCGACGGCCACATGTATCTGGAGATGTCGGCCACGTCGGGCACGGGGGAGGAGAAGGCGCCGTGCGACAAGCTGCCGGGCTTCGATTCCGACGAGCATCATCTGGACGACATATTTTACTTGGACGATCGCCTGCGGGGCACCTCCGCGTTCGACAACAAAGAGGAGGAGGAGGAGGACGACGAGTGCGGGGGGCATCATTTCTCCGTCGACCGGCAAAGCCCGCGGTACGACATCACGCCCGCGGTCACGCCGCCGGAGACGACGGCGACGATGATGGTCGTGCCCTGCGCGGATTTGCTGAGCGACGAGATGCCGGCGGCGAGGCCGGTGGAGGAGTGCAAGTTCGACCTGAACGTCTCGTCGGCGGACAACGATCTGCTGCTCGCGGGAACGTCGCTGGACGGACGGACTCCGTCGGCCGCCGCCGACACGCCGAGGACGCTGAACGTCCCGACGAAGGCCGCCCTGAAGGAGGCCGCGACGACGAGTCTCTTTCTGAAGTCCCCGAGTGACGTGCCGACGGCAACCAAGGAAGTGGCGCTTGCTGGAACATCGGACAAAGCGCTGCGGCAGAACGAGGCGGCGGACCCGAATTACCAAGCATCGGCGGCCTGGCGCGTGAACGCGCAGCAGCAAAACAATAACAAAAAAACGCGCCCGCTCGAGGCTCACGACAACACGGCCGCCGCGCGGGATTTCGAAAAAAATGTAAACAGAGTGTCGACGACGCGGAACGGCACGTGTTCCGAGGCGGCTCGCAAAGCCATTGGTGCTGCTGCTGACCGCGCGGAGGGATCGCCCACGGCGCCTGCGCAAAACTTCGAGAAACTTCTACGTACCGGCGTGCAACGCACGCCGGTCGTGGAGTTGCGAAAAATGAAGGAATTGGACAGGCTGTTGGAAAAACGGGGTCGGGGAAATTCCCCGGAGCGAATGAGGGAGAGAGTTCACGACGGACAGAGGAAGTACAACGGCACGATTTTGCACAAGTTGAAAGCTGACAAACGGCGGCTGAAACGTCAGCCCAAGGACTCGCCGAGGGAGGGCAGCCTGGTGAAGAGGCTGAAGAGGCTGAGGCGATCCGGGAAGGTCGCCGAAATGGCCACGAGAGAGGCCATCCTGGCTAGAATGCTGGAAATTGATCTCGAGATGCACAAGCTCGCGACGGAGAAGCTGAAGCTGCACGAATTATTACGTGGCAATGTCCCGTCGATTGAAAATTACACGACGATTTCCAGCGACGTGCCAATGACGAGAGAAGACGATCGTGATCTCAATCAGTTCGAAACACAGCCGTCAACGTTGACGTTGCAGAACATCAGTGAAGTGAACCGTGTCAAACGTGCGCCCTCGTCGAAGCCGTCGCCGATTAAGGAGAGAAAGAGAACGTCCCCGGAGGATAACGAGGGTTACACGCAGAGGACAAAAATGCCGGTGATCAAGTGGAAGAAGAAGCCGCGACTGGAACAGACGTTCAGACGGGAGGAAGCCGAGAAAGAGGAGGAGGAGGAGGAGGACCCTGATGAGACGACGGAACAGCAGACCTCGACTTCCGTAAGTAAAAGAGTAGAGAATGATTTGTCTGCCGTGATCGCGTCTGAAGAGATCGTTCAGAAACCCGAATCGAACGCCGTGACGACGGACGAAGCGCGAGAGGAGGAAGCTACGGGGAGGTCAGCTTGTTGTGACATCGATTCGAGACCCGCGACGGTCTGTCCGGATAAAAGCGCCGCGGATAAAAGTGCGGACGAGGGAGGAGAGCGGCAGGACATTGCAGCCGAGGGCGAGACCGAGCGTGTCGAACATTTTGATGCTGTTAAGGAAAATGACATTCTACCGCCGAGCGAAGTGACGAGGCCGAATTATCATCGGCCGTCGAGCAGGCCAGTGCGCGACACGCCGAATCCTTCGTCTATATATTCCGACGACAGCACGTGGCAGTCCGACGTGGTGCAAAACACCGTCGCTGCGGAGATGCACGCGGAGGGCAGGAGAGCGACGGGTCTCGTGTTGCTGGACGAGACGCTCAAGAAGGAGCTGGCCAAGTCGCGAAAGAAAGCGATCGTGCGCAAGAAGAAGCAGCAGCAGCTGGACAACTTCCTGAAGACGGTTAACAATCTGACGATAGAGGAGGAGGAGCTGCCCCTGTCGAAGCTGTACATCAAGAAGCTGCGGCAAAAGCGAGATCTGCTTGACACGCTCAGCAGCCAGAGGAAGGAAGACACGGATCTCGTCGTTGATCCGAACGTCCTGAAGAACATCGACGACGTGATAAACGCCGTGGTGGAGAACAGAGTGGACGACAATCCTTACGAATCAGAGGTACGAGCTACCGACGATGTCCCGGCGACGTCGTCCAACGCCTCGCCTGTGCCGCAGCCCGAGAAGCATCAATTTTACGTTGACGCTGAAGCGAACGCCAACTCGGACTGGCCTTGTCGACCGGAAGAGACCGTGGAAGAGGAGGTCGCGCCGGTTGAGCAGGACAGCAACGACGTGCCAGGCACCGATGGATCGAATCACGTTTTTAAGGCCGTCAGCCAGGACAAGGTTCCTTTCTACGAGGAACGTAACGTAGAGCCTGACAGCAGCATCACCCCCGAGGAGACCCTAATGGAAACGGACTTCTGCGAGCGCGATCGTTCGAAGGATTGCAGTAGTGTTACGTCGCGCAATTTCGACATTAAAGTATCCGTGCCCAAGACTTTGATAAAAGATGATTTCAGCCTGGGACTGTTGCAGAAATTGAAAGAGCCGGAGGAGGACGGTGCTGTCGCGGTAGGTACCGGCCTGGTCGATTCCACAACAAATGTATTCTCGGCCGACTCTGAGAAAGTGGAGGAGAAGGACAAGAGTTCGTCGCAGAGTACCTCGCAAGTCAAGGACGAGAACGTCGTGGTGGAGGACAAGAAGGACGAGGAGGGGAAAGACGAAACGAAGGACAAACCCACGGTGGACGCGAACGAGAGAGAGGAGACGGTCGACAGCGCGAGCACCAATGCACCATCCGCGCCGCAATCGGTCCGCACCGCCAAGTCCGGATACTCCACGGAGAACGAGGAGTCGGGTGATAGCGTTTCTTCCAACGGTAAAGCAGTAATAATACATACGGAGCGTGAATCAAGTGTCTCGAATTCCACGGTAGAGAAGACCGATACGAAGCAGAGTAAAAAGTCGGATGTCGAATCCGAGCAGCTCTCGAATGACGTGATTATTGCTTCGAAACAAGATTGCCAAAGCGCGGAGAATGCGGCAGCCGCCAGAGAGGAAGAGAAAAATAATCCCGACAACAAGTCGCACGAATTTGAGAGAATTCTGGATCATAATGAACAGAGCAACAGCAATTCCAGCGTGCCAGCTGATCTAATGAGCGAAAGATCAGAGGAATCCAACGTGTCCGTTGAGCAAAAGTTCAGTCTGGAACGCACGTCGACGTCCGCCTTCTCGGCTTTCAACAAAGCAAAGGGAAGCGGTGAACCGAGCAGGAAGCTTCGTCGCAAGCACGCAAACAGCTTGGCGCCGGTTCGGAGAAGCACGAGAAACTCCAATGAGAATATCAAGCCCGGCAGGACAAATGAAGTCGATGGTAATTCGAGCAACAGCGAACAACGAGAACCGTGTACTCCTCTCGAGAAAGATTTAACAACGCGGAGCAGAAGCAAATCCCCCTCGACAAAGAGTCGCGACGAGAGACCTGTCGCAAACAACGTCCCGAGGAGAAATCGCGTCTCGCAGAAAGTGCCAAATCCGGCGAGCAGCCGGAAAGCTGGTGCTGAATCCGAAACGAGGAGCGAAGATTCGGCCAAGCATCTCGAAACGATCACGGAATCCGCAGTCGTGCCGAGGAACAGGGCCACGAGAAAGAGGAAGCAAGAGCGCACGGAATGGCAAATAAAAAACTGCAAAGTGAGATTGACCGACTGTAAACCCGCTCTACTCAAGTACATCGATCCCAAAACTCTGGACAGATTTGGAATAATCGCCGCCGATAATCCCCACCCGTCGAGCGACTCGTCGTGTGTGCAGCGTACATGCGATCAAGATGCGGCAATGATTCCCACCGCAGCTACGGATAAAGATTTCTGTGCCTCGGACCAGTCCTGCGACAAGGAAAGATTTCGACTCGAGATCGAAATCTTGCAGGAGAAGCTAATTAAGGAAAGCAATGACAAGGATCTCGTTCAGGAATCTGTTTCGCATGCAGTGGAAATCGACCAGGATGAATCGAGAATGCAGTACACAGTCCATAAAGGCCCTATTTTAGACATCAAGGTAAAAAGACTCGATAAGAGATCAATTTGATTATTTGTACTGTTTAAGAGTTAAATATAATTTACATCCTTTTTTTTTCTCTCTTTCAGATTTTTGAGAATTCTTTCCTGGCAGCAAGCGAAGACAGCAAAATATACAGATATAGTCAGAAGTCCAATGGGATATTGAATATTTATAAAGGTCATAAATCCGCGGTTACGTGTTTGTATATCTGTAAGCCGGCTGTTGTCGCAGGAGTTGACAAAAATCTTGTGTATTCTGGTTCCTTAGATGGCACTTTGCGTTGTTATGATATAATGGTAAGACTTTTTATAATCTCTAAGTAGTTTAGATACTGAATAATTTTATTGAAAAAACTAATTCAAAAAAACTGTTATGCAGACTGGTGCGTTGATAGGAAACCCGGCGCAAATAAAAAGTCCGATACAGTGTATGGATCAAGCATGGGGAATGATTTTTATTGGAACTAAATCTGGACATGTTTCGCGTTTTCATATCGAGGTAAATCTTTTTTTTTTCAAGCTACATGATTTATATATTCGTAAATATGGATACCTACAGAAATTTGTGTTAAGAAAAAGAAAGAGATAATTTTATTTATATATGAAAAGTAATATGTATATACATGTATATTAAAAGAGAAAAAGAGAAATAGTTTTATTATGTAGTATATGAGAAAAAATGTCAGCTTATATTTATATATTAAATATTATTTTATACATACGAGTATAAATTTATTTACAGGCTGGTGCTATTAAAGAAGAAAGTATTCCATTCTCGGAGAAGTCTGTACTTGCGCTTAAAGCGACGAACGAAGGCCCACGAAGAATTCTCATTATAGCATCTCGAAACCAACCGATAAGTATACGGGACGCTCTGACTGGTTTGTTCCTCCGTACGATCAGCGGCCAGAAGAGTCATACCGTCTACAGTTTACTGCGCCATGATAATTTGATCTATTGTGGTACAAGCAGCACGTCCATAAACGTTTTCGATTTCACGGCAAGTGACAAAATATAGTTTTTCTGAATTCTTTTAAACAATAATTAAATTGTATATATCATTATTCTTAAAATACAATTGCAGACGGGTGAACAAGCGATTCAATATGATGCTGGTGTCGGTATTGTGTGTATGCGGCTTCATAAGCAACTGCTCTTCGCAGGCTGTTACGACGGCAATATTTACGTTTTTGATATAAACGTGAGTGTGTTGCATCCCTGTGTATTTTGAGTCATATAATCAGTTTGTTACAACATGTGTTTGCATTATTCATATTCAATTCAATTCAAATCTCTTTGCAGACTCACAAATTAGTATGTAACATACGTGGGCCAGGGAATATGCTATTAAGTGTAGAGGTTGTAAATAACAAGGTATGTATAAAACATGCAAATTTATATATTTTGTTAACAATTTATCAATAACTTACCCTAAATTTTTGTATTATTTTTCTTTGAATTACATTTTTTTTTTTTTTTTTTATAACGTCTCAAGAAGTATTTTCTTTATTTATAATTTTATTGAGTTTTTAGTAAAAGTAAAAAATATAAAACTTTAATGCCAATAATATAAACTGATAAATTTCATTATCTTTCAGATTATAGCGGGAAGTAAAGACAAACGTTTGCATTTGTGGCAAATGCCCACTCAAGTGCGTGCCTTACTTTAAACAACAATGTATAGCATGTGCTCAGGAATTCTCTATTTTAAAAATAATTAATTGGGAAAACGATCGGATAACAACTTAGCGATCGAGTAATACTACATAAATGTGTAATGCAAAAAAACTTATGAAACACCGAAATTATGACTTTATAGTATAGAACTATATTTTTTAACTTTTTCACTATAAATAGCATTGTCATTACATTTCTGATTAAAAAAATGCTTTATTTATATTATATATTTGATAAATATATGATAAAGCGCAAAAATGATAAATAAAATGTTTATAATTGCAGTGCTGTGTATGACAGTATGTGAAACTATTTATAGTGAGAAAGTACTGGCGCCAAAATTATTATATAAAAGATGATGCGATACATATCTATAATATGTAAAGTGTACATTTGTAAAGATTTTAGACTGAACTAATGCAATAATGTGAAATTATTGTATGTATGTGTATGTATGTGTGTGGGTGTGCCCGCGCGTCTGCTTTGTACACACGAAAAGATTCATACTTGCAATATCATCCGAAAGTGTGTGACATTTAATATACATATTAAAAAACAAATTTTATGTCGGCACATGTCAACGTTTTAATGGGCTGTTTAAAAGTTGAAACTAGGTATACACGTAGGTGAGAATACATGGGCATTCAACGGCTTTTATAAACTCTTTATTAAGCAACACTTTTGTTCCTTGTTGGTATTTCACAAAGGTTTGTTATTTTGTTGCTTGTTCCTTAAGAAATATCCTTTAAAAAGATCTTGTTTATATTCACAACATGCTACGTTTGATGTTTGTGTGTCATGTATTTTACAAATGAAAACAAATACACTTTACTATCCTTTAACTTCTATTCTATTGCAATAGACATTAGCGAATGTAAATAAGGAATTGTACCAAAATATAACAAGCCATTTATAATTTAATTTAGAACATGTGGAATTAATCAAAGTACGAATAATGTGTTTGTGTAAAAAAAAGTGGCAAATAAGAGGAAATGTTACATTTAATAAAATTCTAAACTTATGATAGGCTGATACGTTTACATTTCACTTATAAACACACAATTACTATATTTATTATTATATGTGTAATTCTTAACGTATGTATATTTATGTATGCAATATTTACTATATGTAGTTATAAAAATCGTACGTGTCATTTGTTCACAAAAGCTGATGAATTGTACTTGTATTAGGGAGTTACTGCCAATACTTAAAATAATTTGACATCATTAATTCTCTATTGTGCAAAGTTCTCGAATAGGATCAATGTAGAGAAATATAGTTTTTTTTTTACTTTTAAAGTAAATAAAAAAGATAAATTTTTAATTGCGTTAAGCAAAACTCTTGCAATAGAAGTATAAAGTTGTAAGAGTATTAATTTATTTTTCGTATTTAGAAAAGTTTATATGGTATATATACATTTACATTGTAAATGTAGATATAGTTAATTTATAACTTACACATTCATACTCATTCACTCACTACGCATACATACATACACATAGAAATTATTTTATATTGTGCTATTTTCCTAAAGTCATAGGCTATGATAGAATTGTATTTTCAATTAAGGTGTCTGATTGCAATATTGATTAAAATAGAGAAAGAATATCTAAAATTTAAAAACGATGTAATTAATGTGTATAGATAGATTTGATAGAGTTCCAAGATTATATTAGAGAAGTTTTACTGTGTTTGACCAATTAAATTGAAAATTTGAATAGAATATCGTAATTAAAACATTTTTAATTGTTGAATTTATAACGAGTTGCAACTATACGCCTTGATTCGATCCTCGGTAGAGATATATCGTTCTAGCGGCAAATCTGTTAAATCAATATCAGTCCGCTGAGTAAGTCTCAAAGAACTGCAGACGTCTATCAACTGGACGATTCACAAACGCATAAAGTTCGCAGCAATTAATAAAATTTTAAATACAAAAAGAAATGTGTCTTTGCCTCGGACCATTCAAATCAGGTAAAACTCTCCTAATGAAAAGTCTCCAAGGAGACGAAATCGACGATGCGACTCATACTGTGCCTACCAACGGAATAAATATATATACTGTGAAAAATGATACTGGCGAATTCGATATGGTGATTAAGGAAATTGGCGGTAATATGGCACCGATATGGAAGCATTATTTTGATAAGGTACTGTATAAAAAAAGATCGCATTTTAATAAACGCACGATACATTCGAAGCGCGCGTATTGCATTTATTTTGTTTTTTTCTTCATCACTGATTCATCAGATCCATAAAATCATCTACGTGGTGGATACCAGTAATCTTTGCCAAATAAGCGCCGCGGGCGTGCTGCTGTACTCTTTCCTCGTGGAACCGAGATTACAGAACGTGAAAATCGCGCTCATCCTAAACAAGATGGACGTTTCGTATCGTCAGATGAGAAACGAGGCTCTATTGATGCTACAATACGCGCGTCTGCAAAAGGAGGTGAAGCAGAAGATCACCGTGCTGGAAACCAGCGGTATGACGGGCCAGGGGATAGAGAGCTTACGCAGCTGGCTGTTCGATCCGGAAACGCTGCGGGCCACGCTCAAGGCTAATAAATAGGCGCGACGATTGTCGCGCGACGAGAAAGAACGTTACCTCAAAATGCATCATTTTTTTTATTTACACTCGATCTTACAAAGATACAAAGGTATTACTCTACAAATCTTCGATCGTTCTTTGAAAATAATTCATTTAACGAATGTTGTCGTATATATTACTTCTACGGTCATACGGTTGATTCTATAAAAAAAAATATATTGCAACAGACGTTAACGCGCAGCAAACGCGTGTAAATAGTTTTCACACAATCCTAGTGCTAAAAAAAAAAAAAAAAGAAACAATTTTGTAGATAGAAGAAAGGAGCCGGAAGGTGAGAGAGAATTTATGTCGTTTCTTTCTTCGTGCATTATAGTGATAACAAAGGTGACCGTATAAACATTTGCGGCCTCCCCTCCCCCCCCCCCCGCTTAAATCGCCGCTTGTGTGAATTTCTTTTTTATGTATATCTCTTCTAATATTCTTACAGATACATTCCATGAATTTAAAATATTGTTTACTTATATATAACATTTAATGTATCCTTGTAAGATCCTCCACTATTTTTACAAGATCGTCTACCGTCGCTTCCTTCTTCATGCCGCTGCCATCATCGATCTGCGGACAAAATAGTGTATTAAGGGATTTAGGAAAATTAATTCTCTAGTCTCATGTGTATATGTAACAGTCGTGGATATATCGGGTTGCGACACTTCTTTTTTAATAAATTTCGAAACGCACAAATATTTTGCAAATGCGAACCACGATTGGTGTACTGTCTCTAGACTAAAGATAGTACACCATCGTGGTTCGCATTTGCAAAATATTAATTGTTTATAAAATATATATTATATATATTGAATATATACTAAAAACCTATGAAAAAAAAAATATCGCAACCGACATGTCCACGACTGTACTGATACTCGGAAAGAGTCTAGTTTTTTTTGAGTAAACGATCACCAAAGAAAATTTTTACACTCTTAATTAAACATTGTTATTAATTACATATTTTATATTATTGATTCTTCTATTATGATTTACTAAGTGAGATCATAACGTGTATATGTAGATTTACTCATATTTTCTAAAAAAAAAAATAAAAAAAATAGGTAGATTTTCGATTAGTACAAAGAAGACTATTATAACTGAGCTTGATTTTCTTGCTGCTCGAGTGTAAAAAATCATCCCTGGTGACTATTTCCGGATAAGTGGATGCGTGATCAAATTACCATAAGACCCATTGCGACCTCTCCCATTTTGTCGTGGTCCAAGTCGAGGAAACTTTCTATCAGGTCGCCGTCTATGAATCCCTCGCACTGCTCAATCTTCAATTCTGTATTAAAACTTCTCCAGAAGTTATGCTCTATTTTGCCCACGCTTTTTATCACGCTGTTCAGTCTGTTCTCCATGTTGCGCAGGAATTCATAAAACGTAAATGGTATTTGCGTCACCAGACCGATCGCGCCGCTTACGGTGCCGAATAATACGCAGCCCAAGGTCGGCGTACTTGACTCTCCCAAGTTCTGCATCACCAACGAGCCATGTCGGAAAACGTTGACCATGTCACCTAAATGAAATTGACCTACTTCCTGCATCTGTTGCCTCTCATCTTCGGACGTTGCAGCGCTAAAAAGAAAAATACTGTCAAAAAATGTCGACATTTAAAATTACCTTGTTAAAAAATGTACTAATAGGAATGACGCGTGACTCGGCGATAAAAACAATAGACTCGTAGTTGACGGATCTCAGGTTTGATCCTGACCTCTCGATTTTATACATGTCTCGGTTTAATAGAGGTTTTAAAAGAGGATTAAAAAATTAAAATTTGTAAACGTGAAAAAGTACGAGATGACGACGACAAGCTCATTTCGAGGAAATCATATTTCAATAGGATAAAAAAATAAACAAATCTGATAAAAACGTATACAAACGTTATTGAAAACATACCTGTCTTTTTGACATACAAAAAGATTGAAGCAATTTTCAGCGCCCAGAAAAGTATCATCGTCCAATATCTCAATGGCAGTCATCCAATTGGGATTATAATCTCTAGCTATTTCTTCAAAGCTGCCCTCCATAGTCTTGTATTGAAGCAACGTGAGGGACCTCATCAGATCTCCCACCAGGACAAAGTCACCTTTAGTTTTCAAGTAAAGTGCTATAATATTATTAAAGTGGCTACACTCCAATCTGAGCTCCTTCTCCGCGGTCCACTCGAACAATCTCACGGTACTGTTAATACTAGCCAAAAGTTTCCCGTTGAATTCGACTAGGGAATAACATGAACCCTTGATCTCCTTTTCCGCGACCTGCGTAAATTTGCCCTCGCTCCAATGATACAGCAGTATCCTGCCCATCTTGGGCTCAGTCTCGTCGGGATTTATAAACGCGGTCCCGACCACGAAGTAAGAGGTCGGATCCTCGCCCAATCTTGTCGAGATCAACGATAGCGCATATTCGGTGGACATCAGCGTGTGCGCGTGTAGAACCTCGAATGTATGCTGATCGATGATCAGAAGATTGTGCACTTCGATCTCCTGGCCGATCTCACTGGCCGTGTGCCCGCTGGGTTTGTTGTGCGAGGCGACGTGGCTGCTGCTGGACGTGGACGCCGCTTGGGTGGACGCGGAATGCCTGACGATGCTCACCCCGCTGCTCTCCTGTACGTCGACGCGCATCGTGATCACGCCAAAGGTCTGCGAGCTCTCCTGATAAGCGATCCTCCTTGGCGACTCCCCGAGCGGGACCGTTCTTATGTGCAGCTTCTGGATCTCGTCGATCGTACCAATGGTAACGGTGCTGTCGGTTGCCAGTGCCAGACTATCGGGATAAGATTCTGCATTCAACGAGCACATGTGATTCACCTCTTTGAGATTGACATTGCTGAATACAAGCTTGTGGTTAGAGGAATAGATAACCGTGGGCCTATCCGAGCACGCGAACACATTCGTCGTGGAGAGCGATCGGAAGGTCCTGAGAACAGTGGGTTGCGTGCCTAAGGTGACCTTCTTTTTGTCCGTAAGCAAGCCGCTCTGTTGATTTAGAATAAAGTAATACATGCTGCCGTCACCTAGCGCACAAAGCAAGTATGTGTTACTCTCGAAGCAGGTCATTAGAATCGACCTGGGTATAATTTCGCCCCCGAGAAGCTCCTTTTGAATCTCCTCCAGATTGGGTAGAGTCAAGATACGAACGGATATGTCCGTCCAAAGCCCAACGGCGACGATCTTGGCCTCGTTGACGCCGTCCAGGGGAGAGATGTCCAGACACGCCACTTCGTGTTGCAGGGTAACGAATCCCTTGGATACAATCTGATTGCACGAGATCTCTATGTAAAACAGATCATTTCCCGTCGCGCAAAGGACCTGCATTCCGTTACAGGCTACCACGCTGATAGTCCTTTTGTTTTGCGGCTCCCACTCGGAGATGACTATCTTGCTCTCGAACGAAATCAATCTGACAGAGGTCGAGGTTATTTGGATGAACAGGTCGTCGGTGACGTTGCCCGTATGGAACGTTTGCTCGTCCGCAACGAAACCCGGGATATCCGTTTCCTCGACCTCCTCGCCGTTTAAAGTCAGGATCCTGGTCTGCCCGACAAACGACAGTACCAACGTGTTGTCGAAATTTGAACCGCCAACCTTTAGAGCCCACATGCCTTTAATCCCCGGTAGATCGATACTCGCGTGCTCTTGTATGCCTATACCGTTCCTAATAATCCTAAGGGAGCCCTCCTTGAAGGCACCCGAGCACGTGACCATCTGCCCTTGGCCCTGTCTCTCCAGGTCTACCACGGCCATATCGACGATGGGCGCTAAATTGGTGAATGTCTCCATAGGTACGCAATAGGATCCATTCTCATCCGCCTTTGTAATTAATTTGATCAACTGAGAATCACCTAGACGACTACCGACATATATCACGCCATTGTCCAAATAAGTTATACACTCTGGAATACTAATTTCGCCCAGCAACTCGACCTTCAGGTCCTTCACCACTTGCGTCCCATCGGGCTTCTTTTCCTGCTCCAAAAATAACATAAACAAATGACCAGCCATGTCCCCCAGTAGGTACCTCAGTCCCTGATTATCCACTTTGGCGTAGCAAGTGATAGTGCTCTGCTTTATAATTGGCGGCACCACCGCAACATACGTGGTACCGTCGTGATACAGAATACTCTCCTGTCCTATTATGATCGCGCCACAAATGGGAGAAGGTACAGGAATGACCATCATGGCCTCGCGCTCTACATTATCCTGCCTCCATGGTATCTTGGCAAATTCCTTGTCTCTCAAGTTAATCTCGTGTGTCTTTACGTGTCTGCCATTGATGTCTTGATGAATGAGAATTAAGGTGGGATTGGCGCATCCGTGGAGAAAATTAACATCCTGCACTTGCTGTTCGTCCATGCGAATCGAAGACGCCTTCAATTCCGGATTATCTTTGTCCAAGGGTATAATTTTGAAGAGGCCATCGTACAATCTAAGACCGATCACTCGTGCCTTTGGATCAATAACAGCTTTAATTCCGGTCTCGGAAGCCTTCCCGATACGATCCGCCACGTTCCCGTGAGCTTTTGTTATAATCTCAATATCCTCCCCTTCGCCAATACATTCCAAGATCATGGCATTGTAACGTGTTGTTAACAAAAACAGAAGGTCCTTTTTCTCATGCTGTCGAAAAGAAAAATTGTGTAAATATTGCTGCGCAATTTAATCTCAGTTAAATCTATATTCAGTATAATCCTCAATATAATGCTTTAGCATATGCAGTATTTATATAAGTTTTCACAGATTTTACAATATCTTGACCAATAATACATTAGCAATGGCTTCTCTTAAAGAAATACCTACTTAGCATAACATTTAACAACGTCTTACATGCATATTATAACAATATGTAATAAAAATATGTATATGTATATCAAAAGTTTAATTCAAGCAAGTCGCTAAACGCTGTAATAATATTTTTCTTTAAGATTTATTAACGAATAGCGAAGAAAATATTGCCAGTCATACAAGTGTAAACTCTGAAGAAACAGACGTTAAGAGTGGAGATAACCTTACCGGCGGTCTGAAGAACTTTATGACGGCTATTTTGCCGTAGATCCCGACCTCCTTCAGGGGCCGTAGGCCCTCCGGTGTCACGAGGTATATCTCCAAACGTACATTCTTGGCCAATATCAGATTCAAATCCGTAGGCGACGTGAAATTACCTTCGGGAAAGCGCAAAAGCAATTATACAGCGCGACGCGCGTACTCTCGCCACCGCGAATTCGTGAAATTAAACACTCACCGGTCACGCAGGCAGTGACAGCCGTTGGTTTATGTGCCGTCACCACGTAATGATGGGACATCGCTTTCATAATATATTACCTGGCAGCTGATAAACACTTTTCAACACAACCACGGATCTCGAGCCCGGAGCACTCCGCTACTCCGCTCCACTGCTTTGTGTTTTTCAATTTATCGCGCCATAAAGTTGGTCACACTTCAGGCACATTAGGTCCCTTTACAACGCACGCAGAGTATATACATAAAGCCGGGAGCACAGACTTTTGCATTAGTCCCGAAACACAATAGATGTAGTAAGCCTTAAGCCGTAGGAAATTAACTAATCATAATCGATTATTCTCTTTAAATTCAACTGCGATTGATCCATTTCTTACGGCTTAAAGGTCCATCTACAATGAGAGTAGTAAGTCGTAAGCCGTAAAAAATTGACCAATCACATTCGAATATGAGAAGAATAATCGACTGTGATTGGTCAATTA